TAGCCACTGCCGCGGGGGCATTGGCAGCTAGGTCGTCGCACCTGCCCTCTGGCCGTTCGCCCCATCCCTGGATGCTCGGGCCAGTTGCGTCGTGAAGCCCTCGAACGTGTTGACCGAGGCGGGGTCGACTACATTGCACTAGGTGTCATGGATAGTACAATCAGTGATGTTGCAGATCTCCTTGAGGTCGGCCCACTGCACGATGTCCGCATGTTCGTTAGCCGCGAAGGCATTGATCTTCTCCAAGCCCCGCTCAGCATCGGTTGTGATGGGGTCGCCGTCCTTGGTGAGTCGCACAGGTGCTAGTTGTGAAGCCCAGTACTTTTGTTTCTTGTAGCCCGCCGCGGAGAGTAATTTCCTGGACGATGCCCAGACGCCCCGTGCGCGTCCACGTTGGGGCGCGGTGGCCAAAGCTTCGGCTGTGCTGGTATGTATGTCAGTACGGTTCTGCTCCATCGCGTTGATGTGGTGCGTCCGGGTATCGTTGAGGAAGGTATTGATGTTGGTGATGAATTGTCGTAGGGACTGGATTGTGTAGTAAGTTCCCTTACCGCAGGGGCCCAGGGGTCTTTTGGAAACGCGTACTGTTCCGCTTTGCGTTGCAGCTGATCAACGAGTGGCCAGTGGGCCATGTTATCTTCGTGGTACTTTCTCTTGGCGAGGTGTACATGCCTACGGAGCTTGAGTGAGCGCATTGTCATTGGAGTGGTGGGGTGCCTCTTGGGCGTAGTCTCGGCACCTTGTAAATTCTCTTGGCCGCCGTGAGAAACGTGTCAGCGGTATCCTTGTAGTGCTGGCTCACGTTGATGTCTCACAGTGGTATTTGTTGCTTATCCAGCTCGTCTCCGAATTCCTAGGCGAGCTGTGGATCTCGAAAATTGTGCTTGTCGTATTGGGTACCCGAATGTCGATCTATTGCCACCAAGAGTGCCCCAGAAGTCTACGATGACTGGGAGGTTGTCTTCCCTATCGCGTAGGACGTCGCAGTCGGTCTGCGTGCAGCAGGCGTGCGCGGCGAGGTGTAGTTGTTCCGAAGTAGTGATGTAGTCAATTGTACGGTAGGGTCTTTCTTTGATGGCTGACCATGTATAGCCGTTGACGTTGGGGTGTAGCGTCGTAGTGGCGAACATGGATGTTGAGGCGAGGACCTTGTGCAGCTTCTCGCCGTTGTCGTTCTCGTCCTCACACCAGCCTTCCGACCCGACCCAGTCTGTGGTGATGTGATGCTACCCAGTCTGGCGCTTGCGTCTATAACTGAGAGGCTGGGCTGGTTTTTGAAGGTGTGGTTTGTGATGCGGTCCTAATATTCGGCTCTTTCCTGGGCGTCGGTATGCATGTGTGGCGCGTGCGCGACGAAGACGACATCGGCCTCGATGAGTAGCGTAAGGTAATTTAGTATTGATGAAAAGCGAGCATCCGTATTGCCTTTCTTGAGCCCCGGGGTGTATCGTGATAACGTATGTGTCCATCCTTCGTCCTTGTGGCTTCCTGGATTTCTGTGTGCTTGTCAGTAGTATCCGATCGGCGCGCAGTTGCTGGCACAATTGGGATACCTTACCGATACGCTTTGACTTGGAGGGTACTGGGTTGACGCCGTTGTCATTGACGCAAAGCGCACGTACGTTCTAGGTCTGCACTCTAAACTCGATCTCGTACGGAACGTCCTTGTGGGTCGGTGCGGCCGGTAGGGGCTCCAAGTACCAGCAGAATTTGTCGCCGTCGTTCGGGGGGTATGTTTCTCGGTCTTCGCCCGGGACATGAAGGAGCCATTGTCAAGCTGCGTGGGTATTTGTTGTCAGTATGTTGTTGATGACGCTGTAGGCGAAGTGGTTGTCGTTATCAGCGGCGCACTTAGCACATACGCCCGCCAGTTATTGCAGGGATGGTTTTTGTGTCCCTTGTGCCAGATGAGCTTGGCATAGGCGACGCTGGCGCGCTCCACGTATAGGGCTCGCGCCAAGGTGGCCAGCTGCAAATTAGCTGTTAGCCTGTACTCGCCTCACGAGAGCATCAGTGCCACCGTATTGCCACAGTGGATGTAGTGGTACGAGGTCGGCTGGATGTTGCCTGACTCGTCTCCTCGGAGTGCCATGGTGAGGGCCCAAATGATACTCGCAAGTTCGGCTGTAGTGCATGAGGTAATCGGGTAGTCACCGCCAATCGATTGTCGGAGCTTGGCCTCCGCATGGCCACAGTAGTGGTACTCGTCTCCAGGTTCGTTGCCCGTCCTGTTGGCCTGGATGTAGACGAGCCCCCTGGCGGAGTCCTCGGGCCTCTGCTCGTGGTAGCTGCCGTCTGGGTACAGATGGTGGTGGAGTGAGTGTCTCTGCACTTCTGATTAGCAATGTGCTCCTGGGTGACTTCCCTGATGTCGAGATAGTCGGTGCTGGTATCGACACGTGCACGTGTTGCTTCAGCGGCCAGTTTGCCCAAGGGTACTCTGAGTTGTATCGGGCAGTTCGATAGGACAGGTTCGTAGCCATGTTGTTGCTACGGTAAGTCAGGGGGAGGGGATGTCGGAGGTGGCAACGGTGCGGCACCTCGGTATTATTGGTATCGACGTTCATCATCCCTGCATGCTGGTAGTTCCGTTAGTGGAACCAGTAAATGAGTTCGGAGTATCAATGGGTGAGTTACGTGTAGACGTTGTCCTACGCCTGCGTCGCCGCCCAGCGTAGCGGCGTAGGCCTTTATGAGTAGGCCGACGGGTCGTAGCCTCCATAGGTCGAGTAACGCACGTCTCACTCGAGCAACGGTGGGTACTGGACGTTCGTGCGTAACTACTGCTCCTTGATGGTGGAGTAGCCCCAATACGTGCCGCCGTGTAGGAGTCGTGAAAATTGATTAGGGTCACGGGTTGACCCGGGGTAAATGCAGTGTGGTCGTAAAGTGCGGCTGCATTGTAGCTTGCCCATTTGCGGGGGTAGCGACGCCCACCGCGGATTCCCTTGGGCTTGGCCCATAGCGTAGAGCTAGGGCCGAAACAACCGTGCGCCGATTTGGCCCTCACCACAATGGCTTTGCGAAGGTACTTGTCCCTTCTGCAGCAGGTCCCGCCTGGACATATCGTCTCCTCCTGCTGTGGTGGTAATCCTCTGGCCGAACGGCGCCATTGCCCTTTTGACCTTGATCGGCGGTCCCTGCTGCACCGGGGATGAGGTGGATCACAAGGCATCTCGTAAGCCAGCTGCGATGTCTGCGATCTGTCTGTAGTCCTTCTCCGTAGTGATGTCCACCCATGCTCGGTTGCCTTGCTCCAGTAGTTTGCTCGTGATCCGTAAGGGCTTCGCCCCCTGCCGCCGGCCCCCCTCTCTTAGAATGGGACTTGCCAGAGCTGCGTTGGGATGTCTAGACGCTGACGTAAAGCAATGTCGGGACTTCACGCGAGGCCAATGTCAATTTACGAGGGTGTATGGCTTCGGTGGCGCGAATATCAGGTGATTTACGATGGTTTATGGCTTCGGGGACGCGGATATTGCATAATTTGCAAAGGGGTGTATGGCCTCGGGGGCGCAAGCATTGCGTAATTTACCAAGGTTTATGGCCTCGGGGACGCGAATTCGGAGCAATTTACGAGGGAGTATGGCCTCGGGGCGCGAATATCATGTATTTGCACGTGTCCCACGCCCCCCCAGGAATTCAGACAACGCGATCTGAGCGTGGTACAAAAGCTGGTTTGGGGCTCCCCACCCCTCGCGCGTTCAGCAACAGTTTACAGTAGGAAGCAGAAAGCAGGACTGTAAGATTGGAGACTTGAAACGGGAACTGGTGCAGGGAGCATAAATGCCTAATCTTCGCAGCCTGATGGCCCCGCAAGGGGGCTGGCGGATCTCGCCAGCGAGGTCTGAATGGGTTTTCTTGGCCATGTCGTACAGGAATTCGGCGAGCAGTGGTTTCTGGTTCAGGGGTGACACAGCAGCCAGCTTGACAGCGAGGGCGCGGTGGGCCGTATCATTGTCCTCCTGCTGTTGGCGCACGTCGTAGTAGGAGGCGGATGTTGGTGCCTTGGGTGCGGGTAGTGATGGCGGCCGACAGTAACCTGGACTGCGTTCCGGGTTGGCGCCATGCTCCAAGCCGCTCATACCCGCTACCCAGGGGAACACGTATCATTCCGTCTGGAAACCTTCGTCGGTCGAGGAGGTGGTGGGCGGGGGTGGGAGCGCCGACCCTATCATTTGCATGACGTATGCTTCGTCTGCGTCGACTTTGGTCTGCTCGCGGCCATCCTCTTGGTCCAGTGCCAGGGAAGTCGGTGTTGGTGCGTTTACGAGTTGTTGCTGTAACATCTCCTCCTTTTGTGCCTGGTGCTTTCGTTTCCGCTCTTCCACCTGCGAGGGTGAGTTGAGCATCGCTTTTTGACGAAGAAGCTGGACCGACGTCGTTGTTATCTGCCAGGGCCTCTCTGTATGTTCCAGCGGTGATAGCCTGCTCGTTGTAGCCGTTGGTGGGCGGGGGGGTGTACTAAAGCCTCCCGTCGGCACTCCTGGGATCGGCGTTTGTGGGATAATTTCTTCCAAAGCAGCCGTCAGGGGGTCGTCCTGGGGCACATGGTTGGTCTCTTTAGGCGGCGTGCTGACTGCCCTGGTGCGTCGTGGCGGCGTAGCGACTGCGAAGTGCAAGGGCACCGTGAGCGTTATTTGCGCTGGTGGGGGGGGGGCTGTGGAAGCTTGGCGTGGTCCTTTTTGTCGTTGTAATGGATATCCCAGAGGCTGATAGTATCGGCTGAAGTGGTAGCGGCGGCTGGGCGTGGCTCTAAAGGACCGCCGGGGATGAAGGCGTACTGTCTATCGGACATACTGTCCATCCTGCTAGTGAGCACTGCATCCGCAGGCTCAGCGTTTGATGTAAAGGGGGCCTCGGCGTTGCTACGTAGGTTGGTTGTGGCTGTCTGGGCGTTTTTTGTGAAGTCCTCGTAGGTGGTGGAGCTGCTGTACCAGGTCTTGTTGTACGAATAGGCTTTCCTGGCATTCGTGCTGGTATTTCTGTATGGTCTCGTTGTCCTGGTGTTGCCTGTTCTTAGACTGTCGGTGGCGCTCGCTCATCTCAAGTACGAGTAGCTGCTCGGTCTTCTGGCATTCCTCATGCAGCCTGTGAACGGCAGCTTCCTGTTCGCTGTAGCTGGTCTGCAGGCCCATCTCCTCCAACTGTAGTTGCTGATGCCAAAGGTACAGGTACGCGTTCTTTCTGTCCGAGGTGGAGAGATTGGAGCTCTTCCTCAGAATTTGACGCCAGATGGATATCACGAGTGCCATAGTCCTCGGCTTGTTGCGTGAGGTGTCGTCCCATGAAGTCAATCTGGGTGCGGAGCTCCTCGTTGTCCTTCATTGACTGTGCGAGCTTGTCGTAGACGGCTCCTTGCTCCGCGTGTAGTTGGCGTGCCTCGTGATGTTCACACTCGAGTCTGGCCTGATGCGTCGCCGTGGCAAGCTCACTGTGCGCCTGCTGGTGGTGGAGCATGTGGTGTTCTGTGATTCGGGTCTGCGTGGTGAGGTTCTCCTCGTATCGCGCGAGCTGCTCGTTCTGCCGAAGTAGAACCTGCTCGGCGTGGCGGTGTTGCTCTTGATACTCGTCCGATTTCGTCCTGATCTGGTGAAGGTCCTGGTAGAGCTCGTGGTACTCCGTGGTCAGCTCGTGGTGTCGTTTGTTGCCGTCAACAGTCTTGTTCTTGAGGCGCTCGATCTCGGCTGATTATTCGTGACACTCCTCTTGAAAATTGACTTCGTACGGCAAGGTCGAGGTCGGGGCTTGGTAGAATGCCCATTGTGTCGGCTTGGACTGCTTGAGTCTGGTGATCGTAAGGTCTTTCTCCAGCTCGGAGTTCTCGCAAAAGCGGAGACGGGAGTCCTTCCGCGGGTAATTTTCCTGTAGTTCGTTGTAGCGGATGCTGGACATGGTGCATTGTTCCTCGGCGTATTTCGTTCTGTTTTGTTTTTCGTGGATGTCGACCTTGTGTTGGGCGTAACATTGTATGAGTTCGGCGGATGAACTCTCAAGGCCATCTCGGAGCAATGTGATGAGTTTGTCTTTGTACCGTGTAGACTCGGAGCAGGCGTTCTTGTTGGTAAGTTGTCTCAGCAGATCTGCGCAGTGTGCATCCAGCCCCATCGTGCTTCTCTTCTTTACTGCGTATCAACTTGTGTAGTTCGTTGATACGCCCCTCCGTAGAGGCGTTGGTGGCGGCTTCGGCGTTGCGGATCTCGTCGTTGAGAGCCGCATTCATGTCTGCAAGGTCCTTGATTGTGTTGCGTAGTTATGTTTATTCTTCAAGCAGTCGGTGTCTGTCAGGGACCGTGCCCATCGCTGGCGGCGTAGAGGGCCCAGGTTGGTCGCGTGGTGGGACCCTTCACTTGCGCAGGGCGTCTTCGAGTGATTTGGCTCTCTTTCTGTCCTTCTCAGCTTTCTTGTCCTTGTCGCCGGTCGCGGTCCTGGAAATGGCGATCATGTACTTTTGAGGCAGCGGATGTCTCCGAGGTTGCGCGTGACATTGTGTCCTTTCTCCTTGTCTTTGTTGTACAGCTGCGCCGCTTTGTACAGGTCATCGTGGCATTTCCAGCGGTACTGGCGTAGTTCTTCTGCGTCTCGTGGTGGTTCCACGTACGAGGGGTGGGTCTTGGTCTCCTGTTCCTCGTATGGCTTGGTCGCTTCGACTACCTTCTCGGTGGTCCTGTCAAGCTTCCAAGCAGGTTGCCCTCGTGTCCGACTTGAGCGCCTCGACGACCTTCCTGTACGAGGCTGGTTGCCGTTCTGGTTGCAGTCACCCTGCTCCCAGGTCCACTGGTTCCCGCAGTAACAGATCCAGAGCTTGTTGGGAGCGTTTCTGCCGCAGCCTTTGCATTTCCAGCAGCTGGTCTTCGTTGTGGTCTGTCGGCCTCGCTCTCTAGGGATGGAGAAATCGCGCAGTGAGTCTCTCCCGCCGCGGGGTGCGGAGCGGTCTCTGTAACTGGAGCCCGTCTGGTTGGAGTCTTTGGGCGCCATCTTGGATTGGTGGTGGTCAAGTAGACGTGCTGCGGCAGCAACTCGTAGTAATGTCCTCGCAGCCACCCGTTGTCTCCGGGCGTGCCTGTGCCAGGCAGGTGGTTTAGTTGTTGTCGTTGTAGGCGTGGGCCCCTAGGGGTCTGACGTAGAATAGGTACATGCGGGCAACGATGTCGTGGAGGAGCGTGTAAAGCTCAGTGTGGATGGGCAACTACAGCGGGTACTTGGAGATCCGAGTGCCGTAAATGCTGTACGGCGAGTAGACAGTGAAGAAGTAGCGGGCAGGGTACCTCTTCTCCGCGGGCGTATGGCGCCGCGCTGGGCGCTGCCCGGCCGTGGCGGGGGGTACACTCCCTCCCTCCCGGCGGCCTCGGTTGAAACGCCGCCCCTCCTCCTCTTCCTCCTGCTCCGTCTCCTGCTCCTCATCATCATCGTCCTCATCCTCCTCCTCCTCCTCCTCCTCCTCCTCCTCCTCATTCTCCTCCTCCTCGTCATCATCATCATCATCATCCTCATCCTCGTCCTCCTCTTCCCCCTCCTCCTCCTCCTCCTCGTCCTCCTCTTCCTCCCCCTCCTCCTCTCCATAGACATGTGGCTCAAGGATAAGCTTTGTGAAGGGTTTGGGTACCCGAGAATCAGCGATTAGCGTTGGACCCCCCCGTCACGATCGGTTCAGATTACTTGGGGCGCGCGCCCACGGTTCACAGCCATTCTGCTCCAATTAGGACGGGGCCACTGCGGGCCGATGTGTGCGCGGGCACCGCTGGCAGCGCTGCTGATGGTGATGACCGTGATCGTTGCGACCTCGCCTCGGGATCTGGAGACTGCGGCTCGTCCTCGTCTTCCCGAGAGCAATCGAGGAGCGGGGAACAGCGCCGCCGCAAGCGCCGCGAGCGCCAATCTCGCGATCGCACCCGCCCAGGAGGCGGATCGCGAGGCGGCCGAGGGCAGCGCTCGTTGCGGCCCATCAGCAGGAGGCCTTCTTGGAGCAGGAGGCAGCCTACCCCACGCTGCCGTCGCAGCATGCAGCCGCGCCGCTCGACCCGTGGGCGGCGGCGGCAGCTGGATTCGGCGCCGCTCCTGCGAGGCCTGGCGTTCCGAGGTCTGCTCCTGGCACGCCCGTCGGAGGCATGGTCACTCCTCGCTCGCAGCTGGGCGGTCGGGGCGCCGGCGTCAGGCACGAGAAAGAGCCAGCCGAGACCGCTGCTGCAATTTCGGACTTGTGGATGTCGCTCTTCGATGAGTTGCGCTCCAGCCAGGATCGCTTCCTCCTCAGCATGGACAAGAGCTTGGGAGGGCATGCAGCGCGCGCTGGAGCGGCGCAGATCCTGGAGAACCGCCAGCAGAAGGCCGAGCGCATCCAGCGGCAGCAAGCCGAGGATATAAAACGGCTGGAGGACGAGATGCGGAGGCGCCAGCAGCAGATGGATAATATTCTGGCGAAGCATTGCGCCGACATGGCGCAGCAGCAGCGCGAGCTCGGCGCGGTGGCAGCGGGCGCTCCGCAGCCGCCTGGAGCTGGGCCAACCTGGAGCCGTGGGATCGACCGTGCGGTTCTGGCCATCACCTCCGAGGCCCCACTCCTGCGCGCGGCGGTGGAGCAGGCCGTGGCGCCTGTGCTCGGCGACTCGCAGCTGGCTGACGTCTCCCAGGTTGAAGGTGACGACGTGGGCCAGCGCTTCGCGGTCAGGATGGCGGGCGACGCGGGCCTGGCCGAGCGTCGTGTCCGCGAGCTCGCGGCCACGCGTCGCGGTGGCGGTCCCGGCGGCACTCGGCGTCAGGTTTCGGCCACCACCCACGGCCCCGACGGGCCACGCCGCGCCGTTGCTTTGCAGCAAGGATAAGAATTCGCGCCAGGCGTCACACGAGATCACGCCCAAGAAGATGCGGCGGACGCTGGGAAGAGCCCCATCGAAGCGCATCTTCGTCGATCCCGTCGGCCCCGCCCAATGGGAGGGCGCACTGTCAATGGCGTGGCAGCCACAGGTCAAGATTGTGATCGAGGGCCCTGGTGCACCGCCTGTTGTCCAGCGGACTGCCGCCGTCTTCTGTCGCCGCCAGCTCCCTCGCAAGGAACTACAGCAGATGGTGGACCCCGTCCTCCTGGCTCCGACGACTGCGGAGCGGTGCCTCTGACCAGGCCACCGCCCACGGGGGGCGACGACGGCGCGACGAGGGCGCCGCATTACCAGGGGGGGGGGCCCGATCATGGCGACGCTCCCGCAGCGCCAGGAGAAGGACCCGTTCGCGGCAACGGCGATGTTGCAGGGCCCCAGACGGCCGCGGTTAACTTTGCGCTCACCTCGGCCACGCGGAACGCGCGGGCGCTGCGCCACCAGGGCGGGCATTGCGAGGGCCTCGGCGGATTTCCTCGCCAAGTTTTAAAATGTTTTTGAAGCGCGACTCGGTCATCCCGGGCCTCCAGGAGGCGCGCGGCCCACGCGTCCGTCGAGCTTCTCGAGCACGCGGGCATCCGAGCTCGAGTCTTTACGCCGTCATGTGGGGTGAACAAGAGGACTCACGCGGGTTCGCCATTCTCTTCCCCGCGTGCGGGGCCGATAGACGGAGTGCAGCAGGGTAAGTCAACATTGCTTCCCAGCAGGGTTATGCGCATCCGTGCTCGGTTCAGCGATGACTCGGGGAGACCCCGGTCGCTCGTTCATTGGAGGATTCAAAACCACGGCCCAGAACGGCGGCACCCAGCGCCGCGTCCTCGGAGACGACGCGGGGCCCCATCGCGGCCGCCGCGCCCATCGCGGGCAACCTCAATCGCGGCGACAAGCTGGAGAATTGCCGTTTTGGCGACGAAGGCCCCCCACGATCGGTCGACACAGCTCGGCGCCCGCAGGAGCAACGACGGCAGCGCTGCCTGGGGGGCGCCGCGGAGATGGCGGCTCCAAGGGCGGCCCACTGGCACGCCGGGCCCCAGAGCGCGACTGGGAGCGACCGCGCCTCCTTGGGCGCCCCGCCAAGGCTGGCGACGCAGCGTGTCCAGCAGCGCGGGGCGCCGGGCGAGCCTGAGGAGCTGCATTGGGGCGGCGCCCTGCGCGCACCCCGGGGCCCAACTAAACTTGCCCCGATCCACCAGGGAATCGTGAACTTATGTTCAAAGAGAAGTTGACTCAGTACGCGGCGGCGCTGGATATGTCGTCGCGAGCCCCGCCCGACACGCACCAGGTCTACGCGCGGGTCGCGCAGGCGGCGGCGGCGGAGACTCGCGACGCGCAGCCACGGGGCCAGGAGCGAGGACATTCAGGCCGAGCTGGACTGGGGGGCGCTGGCCCCCCTGAGCTACGGCTTCGCGCACGCATTCTCGTCGCTCCTCCACGACTCGCTGCGACGGGCGCTGGAGGCGTGGCAGTTGCCGCTTGGCCTGGGGCCCCTGCCCCTGGAGACCTACGCCGATGTGGAGGCGGCGGGGACGAGGCCCAGCCATTGGGTCCTTGTCGCGATACTGCGCGGGATCCTGCAAGGCGACCCGCTCTCGGGATCGACGTTCGCGATTGGGGTGCAGCCGTTCATGGAGGCGCTCGGGCAGCAGCTGGAGGCCCTGGCACAAGGCCTGACCTACTGGTGCGCCGACGACGTCTATGCGCTCGTCTTCGGCAGGAGGGGACTTCGCACGCTGGCGCGGATCTCCCGCCTTGCGGAGCGCTTAGCTGGGTTCCAGCCCCAGCCCAAGCAATGCGCGGCCGCCCCGCTCTGGGCCCGAGGAGTGCGGCTGGGGCTCCTTCGACGTGGCTCCGGTCGTGGAACTGATGGGGCGTTTCGTTGGACTTGGCGCGACGGTGCCAGTCTGTCCTCTCCTACAAGGCTCAGCTCTGGCCGATGCCGCCGCTCCTGGTCGAGGACGAGCCGCTCTTGGAGCCTGCTGAGGCGAACACCTTCTACCACATGGAGGTGCTGCGGGGGCCGCGCTGCGCGCCGACTTCCGAGTTCCCGGGGGCGCCCCCAACGCGCGCGGCAGCGTCACCGTTGAAGACGCAGCGGCGGGCGGGGAGGCACCTGAATGAGGTGGCCCGGCGCAGATTGCCGCTGGCGCGCAGCTTGGAGAGCCAACCTCAACCTGCCTGTCGGGAGGCACCAGCTCCCGCGGTCACGCTCGCGCGTGCGCCGGCGGCAGGGCGCGAGTTGCTCGAAAAGAGCGGCGCCCCCCTCTTCTCTTGCGATTGGGGCGTGGCGGGGCGGCGGGCGGGCAGGGGGAGACGGCAACGTCAGCGTGGATTCTTAGATGGCCTGCGGGCCTCCAGGGACGGGGACCTCCCCCTCAATGGTTCGGAGTCCCCCCCTGGAGGCAGCCGCGGTGGCGCGGAATGAAGTGGAGCAGGTCCCGATGCGGGCGCCTCCGACCTGCAGGTGCGCGTGCAGAACGACTTGGCTTGGAGACTGGGTGACAGATACCCGCTGCCCAGCCCCAGAGTCGGGACCGCAGGTTCTGTCTGGGCTGCGATTCGCCCGACAGCCTGAAGCAGTATTTGAGGCGTGCGCCTTTCCGAGGGTTGGTGCGGTTGGCCCCAGGCCGGCCGCTGCTTGATGCTCTCCTCGTCGCCTTCGTTTTCGTCGAAACATCGCTGGAGTCGGCTCGAGGAGTGGCGCTGACGTTCCACCTGCATCGCCATCTCCACCTGGAGAGGCGCGATGCCATCAGCGGGTCGTTTTCCCCTTTGATCGTTCATTCGATCGCCAAGGCCGCTCGGCAGGCATTGACCCTTCTGGAGGCACCTCTGTCGGACAGTCGCGTACAGTGGCTAGGTAAGGATACGGGATGTGTTTGAGGACGCTCTGCCTCCTTCTCCTCCTCCTCATCATCACAGTGATCCCTGTTCCCATCGCGCCTTCCCCTAATCATCATCATCATCATCATCATCATCAACAACAACATCATCATCAGCAGCATCAGCATCAGCATCAGCATCATCAGCATCATCATCATTCCCAACCCCTGTGAAGAGGAACCAGGATCGAGGGTTCTAGACGTGCTTGGTCTTTCGTGTACAATCGTTTACGTGCAGTGGTGTCTTGATATCTGGGAGTTCATGCTGCTCGTGCATGTGTGATTGAGTGGCTGTCTATCGAGGCTGACTTGACTTCGTTGTGCTCGACCCCCTTTCTGCTGCTGTCTGCTCCTTCTCTCATCGCCTCATCTGCCGTTGAGTCTGCACCCAGTGCTATTTATTCGGGGTCGCTGTCCCTCGTGGCATGACCCCTCCCATGCTCTAAACCGTCGTTCCCCATCTCTGAGAGCTCCCCTTCTCATCGCATCGACGGACTGCAAAGGAACATTGGTGGGCTCGCTGGCTCAAGGGAGACAAAAAAACCGCCCGGACCGGATAATTGGCGTTTACTAAACGGCCTTGGGCGTTTACTAAACAGCCCTGCCCTGTTTGTTTCCCTCTTTGGGCGCGTTTTTTCGACTTCTACTGGCTCCGATCACCTTGGAGAACGAGTGTTGGCATAACGACGTCAACGGACGACAGGAATAGGATCCGACCGAGAGTGCGTGGAGCCGTCCGTTCCCAAAGATGTCCACAAGAGGGTAGTTTTGAATTTACGTTGATCCGATTTTATACAGTAGGCACATGCAAAAAAATATATTTAAAGGCAGGTGCCCCACAGAAATTGAGTATTCCCCCATGGCCCCAGGTATCCACAAGGACCCCTGGAGCACCTTATACTTATCGGATCGACGAAGAATGTGTCCCAAGATATCTGATCGCAAGGTTTATTATCGAACGTGTCTCTTGTGCGTCCCCGCCGCTGTGCTCTGGGTCCACATTATTGAATTCATTTGCTGTCATCGCTTCCCCGAAAGGACGCATGAAAGGCTTGGGCAAGCAGTGCCTGGCTCGGTGGCACAGCGACGCTTGTCTGTGGAGGACAGGGGGGCAGAGAAGGATGGTTGGCCGTCAGCACAGGCAGGGTCGGATCAGCGCAAAACTTTTTTTCACACACACACACACACACACACACACACACACACACACACACACGCACACACACGCACGCACACACACACACACACACACACACACACACACACACACACACACAAACACACACGCACACACACACACACACACACACACACACACACACACACACACACACACACACACACACACATTTTGCGTCGGCGGCTAGGCAGAGTGACTGCGCTGGCGGAAAGAACATTTGCAGGACATACAGATGCGAATTAGGCCGCAATGCACGTGGGGAGGAGGGAGAGGCCCCGCGCGGGGGGGAGGGAAGAGAAGCCGGGCCCGTTCAGAGCAGGACCAGGGAACGGCGGGGGCGGCGCCGGGGCGGCGGGAAAGCAACGGCCGCGGGACAGCCGGGGAAGGGGCGGCAGCCAAGAGGTGGCCGAGCCAGGCGGCGGGGGCGCGGCAGGTCCAGCACGTGGTGGAGACGTGCAGCGCAGTGGGGTGGCCGTGGTGCCGAGGTCACAGCGACCTCCAGGCGACCGCTCGGCAGCAGGAGAAGACCACCCCAATAGGGGGGCTGGGGGGCGCTGGGGAAGGAACCCGGCCGGGCGGAGCGAACACACACACACACACACACACACTTTTTGTTGGTCGGCGGCGCAGCGGTCGGCAGGTGGACGTGCCAATTACGAACGCATGTAGCCGAACGCGCCATGATGAAACAGATCAGTCACGGCTAAGCAATGGGCACCAACGTGGCGAAAACCCAGACAACCCATCCAAGTATTTGAGCGAGAGAAGTCAGCACATTTAAAATGCAAAAAGTGTTTGGTGAAGATTCGAATGCCAAAATGTCAGCAAGCGTGGACCCCAAGCAAAGGTTTCTTGCGAAATATGCGGTGCAAGCCAAGTGGTGCAATCAACGTGGTGCAATATAGGCGGTGCAATCCATGTGGTGAAGTCTATGCGGCGCAAACAATACAAATCAATGTAGACCAACGCAAAGCATTACAAAACAAAGCAAAACAATGCACTGTAAAGCAAAGCACTGAGAAGCAACACAATGCAAAACAATGCACGACAAAGCAACGCAAAGGAACGCGCAAAGCAACGCAAAACCATGCAATGCGATTGCAACCCACAGCAACGCAATGCAATAGCAACGCAATGATATCGCAATGCGATAACAGCGCAGAAGAATGCAAAGCAATGCAAAGCAGTGCGCTACCAACGCAAAGCAACGCGATAGCAACGCAAAGCAGCGCAAAGCAATGCGATCGCAACGGGCGGTGGGGGCCAACGGGGCGGCGGCGACGGGGCGGCGACGGCGACCACAAGGCGTCGGATCCGACAACGGAGCCCAGACGACTGGTGGCGACGAGGCAGCGACGGGGCGGCGACGGCGACCATAAGGCGGCGGATCCGACAACGGAACCCAGGTCCTTAGAAACAAAATAAGAAACCCCGATGTGCAAGCTGTGATTCTGGAATACGTTGCGTGCGGTCGTCTGCTGATGCTTGGTCGCATCGTCGCATAGTACGAATCATGTATGATGCGATATAGCGTTCATGTTATGTTGCGCTATGTTATAATCGGCAAGGTTATGATATAGCATGCGGAGTGCGCGTCATGGACAGGGTAGTGTGTGTGTGCTGTACGTTAGTGCGCTGTTGTATGGCATGATGATGGCACGGTGTGTTCATGATGTTCTCCCATGTTGTACTACCCTATGCAATCATAATACAGAACCCCAGATCGGGTCGCGCAAGGGCCACGGTGGCTGTGCAATGCCTCATTTGTATTTGCTGATCGCGGGGTTTGGCAGCCCTTCGTATAGCTCCGTCATGATGAACACATTGGAATGAAGCGCGGACCAAGCAGACACACGCAATTGACCTTGCAAGTAAATACCCGGTTCAAATTAAAGATCAAGTTTTAAAGTACTCGACGTGGCTGCCTGACGGCTCCAGGAGTTTCAGTGATGCCCGAGACAGTTTGGACCAGCAGCGCTTCGGTGAGAAATTCAAGGTGCCTATGTGTTGACGTAGACTAGTTTCTGAGGTCCGAGTCTGCGTGTGAAAGCTGTTCACGCCAGGGGCCTTTTACGACTATTCTTGTTCCGCGAAGTGCCGACAACACGAGGGATTACAGGATTGTGCATTTTCTATGGCACCAGGACCGCAGCGCTTTGCACGATGGTGTTGCCTGAGCTGGCGGCGAGTTGGGTGCTCTATGGCCCTCTGAGCGCCTCGGGTTTGTTTTCCATTGCGCGGCCATTCTGCAGCGTGGTCGGTCGATCTGGAGATCCCAGGTGCCCAGGCGGCCGTAGGCCTCGAACGTTCAGATTGGGCGTCGCTTCCTTCCCACGTGGCCTCTTTCTGGCTCATGTTTTCTGCCTTCTCTATCTACACATTGCTCATTTCTGATTATTCGAGGGTTTTTTGTTTTTGGGGGGGCGAGATCCTTTCACTTCTAATTGTTCTATCCTGGGCCTCTTCCTGGCCACTGGGGGGCCAGGAACAATTAGAGACGAGCACGATTAGAAATGAGCACGATTAGAAATGAACGACGTGTAGGTCGCCCCCTTCCCTTGCTGCGCGTGCGCCCGCTGGGCAACCGCTCGCGTGATCCCACTCCACTGGCAGGAAGCAGGGCCAGCTGGCGGAGAGCTGACTTTGGCGACCCTGCCGTCTGTAAGCTTGGAGCTCGCGACCGGGAGCCCTACCAAAATGCTGCATCTGTACATAATCGGGTGCACCGGAGCGGGACTCGGGCAGATGGAGACATTTCACGATGTTGCGTCAGGGAGCAGGGGGGCGACCTTGTCCAATCGGAGACCCGTGACCCAGAGCAAAGCGACAGGGAGGAAGACGTGTTCGGCACAGACAGGGGTGTAGAAGAAAAGCTCGGCGAGGGGAAGTAGACAATGCTCCGTCAGAGTCATAGCCTCGACCAGAACACAAGCAGCACGAGACCGCGCGTCCAGGCAGCTGCACCAGAGTCCCGCACTGGCTCTCGGCACCCTTTTCATTTCAATTGCTCCTGGCATTATGCAGTCCTTCAGGATCTCATCCGCAAGGGAAAAGTATATATTTAGCTGCCTGCGGCAAATCTGCAACCGTGCCAGCAAAGCATTCTGCGTGGCGACCATTCGAGCACCGCCCAGAAGGCCGTCACCACTGACATTTCACGTCTCCATTTCTTGGGGTTGTCTCGGGCTCCTGTGGGGCAGTCGTGGGGGTCCCTTGGGGCCCTCGGGGGCCGTCGTGGGGTCTTCATGCACCGTCTCGGGCCCTCTTTGGCCGCTGGGGGGGGCCTGAGGCCGTCTCGGGTCCCTTCAGAGGCCTTCTTCGGCCAGCTTGGGGCTGTCTTGAGGCAGTCTAGAGGCCCTCTTTGGAACTCTCTGTATACCATCTGGGGCTTCCAATAGCCTTGATTCGAACGATCTCCGACCAAAGGCCGCGGAAAGCGAAAAGCATGCACGAGTCGAATTGATGTCAATGCGCGTGCCCTCTCTGGAGAGCGTCTGTCGGGCGTATTTGAGCAGCTTGGAAGGCCTCGTGGGGACCTCTTGGGCTCGTACATGGAGTTCCTGAGCGCATCTCGAAGCTTTGTTCGGCCATATGGGCGGCCGCTGTGGGCTCTTGGGCTGTTTTTTGGAGACCTCGGACCGGGCCCCAGTGGCGCGTCGGGCCGCCCAGGAAGCCGATGGAGAGGGGGCGACGCTTGCAGCAGTTGGCGTCGGAGAGGGGGGGGGCCTAGAGGAATCCGTGGCATCGCTCGGACGTGTGGATTTCTGCTCGGCGAGGACCATCGAGGAGTATCCTGAAGTATCGAGAAAAATGCACGCACCTTATCGAAAAATGCACGGGAAACAGACGTCCCAACGATGGCAAGAATCATTGTCAACGCCAATCCCTTTTTACCAGAAAGATCTTGGCATTCCGCCACGCCTCAACGTGCCAGGCGGCACGATGGCGGATAGCAGACCTTCCAGCGGAAAGGATGCCGATGGAGACGTTTTAAGCTGAATTCCGTGCATTGATGGTATGTTGCCGTTTTTGAGGGGTGGTCGAGCAGTTACATAGTTATCTCTTTGCCGATCCGATCTCTTGTGCATTGCGATAGATGGGCAGTGGAGCCTCATCCGACGGCGTTACGAATCTTGCACGTACAGCCAAGCCGTCTGCTCGGGGCCCAGTTTGTCAGCCACTCTCGCTGTTCGGCAGCACATCCAGCACACGTGCTGCCGAGACGCAGACCCAGCATACGGATTTCCGAACATTTGCACGACCGTTTCCTTGTGTTCCTTTCAGAAATGGGCCCGCCCGGACCAGCTTCGCACAGCTTGCCCCGTCTAGAGTCGGCACGTGCAGGGCATCTGCCCTCCCCTGCCCACAGCCCTCCCTCTCCCTCTTCCACTCCCACTCCCCCGGCCACTCCCACTCCACTCCCACTCCCTCTTCCACTCCCACATCCCTCCCTCTCCCTCTCCCTCCCTCCCACCTTTCCACTCCCACCTCATCGCCCCAAGTCAGCTGGCACCCGTCTCCACAAAGCTGTAGTGCTAGTCTCGTCCCCAGGATCTCCGGCACGCCCAGGCTCATCCACCAGGTCCCTGGGCCCGAGCTAGGACTTAGGAGCGGAGAAGGGGATCGTGCGTAGGAGGGCGAGGAGAAGGTGATGGACTAGAGTGGTGATGAGGTGAGGGTGAGTGTGAGGGCCATCGGGGATATTTTAGAGGGGCGTGTTCTACAGTTCGGCATGCTAAGCACCCCTTGATGAATGTGCGGGGGCGCCGGATCTTGTGGCATCCAGCCGGTCCAGGCACCAGTGCTTGGGTCGTGGATGAGGGGCCTTTTGGGGGGCATCTCGGGCGAATCCTGAGGCTTCTTGGGATCATCTTGGAGAGGGGGGTTCCAGCGGACCGATCGCGGCGCGAGCTCTCGGTAGGCCCTTCTCTGAGCCGTCATGGAGACCGCTTGGCCGTGATCGGAGCCTCGAGGGGGAGGAACTTAGAAGCTAACGTGGCCGTACTGGACAGTCTGAAAAACGACAGGGCGAGAACTTCGAGATAGCACGAAAAACTATACTGCGCTGATGAATTGGATCTCTGGGGCAGACCCCCAAGGCCCCAAACAGCCCCCAGCAGAGCGCCAAGACGGGCCCCTGGATCCGCCTCACTACGCGTCAACACGTGTCGGAGGTGTAGGCTCGCGAGGCTTGGGAAATGCCACGCGCCACACCGCGAAGCGGCCCGGGAATCTGGGGCCCCAGGGCCCCCCACAGCACTACAACATTGTATATGTTGACGGTTCTGAGGGACCGGAGGACAATCCACCCAGTCTCCACCCAGTGTCTCGCGGCACGGTGGCGGATTTGCGGGGAGGCGGCGCGCGGAGTTGCGCTGCGCCCGCGGTCCTCTCCTACGACGCTCGGGGATGTCGTCGGCAGGGGGCGGGCCACGCGATGGCGACCTCGTTGTGGCCGAGGCGGCGTGAGCGTATCAGAATTTTTTGGTGGTGGAAGTAGTGGGTAGGCGTCGACGAACTTGAAAGACAGGCACAAGACATCGAGCCCATTGTAAAGACAGCAGGCATTGCCGTGGGGGAAGAAGACACGATCCTCGACCTCGTTCCTTCGCGAATGCTTGCCTGCTGCTTCCTCCATTCCTTTGACCCTGTCCTGCTGGCCCATGCCGTCCTCGTCCCTGCACGCACCAGTTATTATCACTCGATGAAGCTGTCCTTGGGAGTGCCAATCGGAGTTGGAGCCATCTGACATGCGGGGTTTCTGTTTGCTAGGCTGCGTCATCGTCTCACTAAGCCACGTGAACCATTTCCGTCGGTGGGAGCCTATTGAACGCAAGGTCGACGCGCAATTTCGCGGATGCGTCACGGGTTTCCAAGAGAGAAGAGCCATGAAAGCTTGTGGACACGATTCAGGACGATGTAAATCAGGACGGCTAGATGAAGCCGCATGTGCTCTACGACAAGAGTAGATCTACGCACACGAGATCGGGGTCCGCATTGTCGGTTTCAAGTGGCGATGATGGCATTGTCGCCGTGAACCTTTCGTCAGAAGTCTTTACATACGTTATTGAAGAGAGGGTGCTTACCATTTCCCCCTGTCAGAATGCAAGCGGCCCGGACGCCCCCGATACTGCAAGTGGATTCCGAAAATGGTCACGCCATTTTGGAAAAGCCTTCAGGTCACAATAATTCCAGTCGCTTTCGCCAACGATGTGCAGCACAAGTGTAGCACCAGGGCGCACTCCGTCTTCTCGTGTAGATAAATCCGTTGAGACGCATGGCCAGTTAGCCCAACAAGAACTCAAGGCAACCATGTTTGCGAAATCGTTGTGATATAGTTAACACATCGATGTTATCAATCCATCCGGGGTATCAGCGAGGTTGTGTTTGGTGAGTGTATCGTCTTCCGAAAAATGAATACCGACGGCTTCTGTACTTTAGTTGCTGTCGTGCGCGAGGGAAGCTTCCAAGCCGGGATGTGCACCGATGTTGGCCCCGGAAGGACGAAATGTTCTGGAACCGTTTCCGTCGCAGGCGGCGATCTTCGGGCACACACATGAGACCGACATTTGACGGAATCGACAATTTAAGATCATAACAATTAGTTGCCTCTCGTGTCGTGCGCATGCGAAAAAATTAAGTGCATGTCAGTGCATGTCCGTTCCGCTTGTACTTGACGCATTCGCAACATGAGCAGGTCCAAATCCGGCAGCACGCATTGCCAGCATGCACAGTAGTAGCCGTTCAGTTTGCTGCGGCACGTTGCCCGTGTAGAACTTCACACATCGTGTAATGATCAGCGCAGGTGTGCATTTCTTGCTCGTGCACGGATGTTTCGGTGTACTACGTGCACCTACTGGTAAACAGTAGGAATGTATTTCAGGATCGTGTACCAATGTCGACGCTCGTTGGACATCCAGTATCCAGTATGTGGTGCCAAGCGGCTCGAGTCAGTCGAATGATTCGGTACCAAAAGCGCTAATTCTTATTGCTTCGCCATTCTCCCGCCAATCCAGAAACGCACCCAGAACTCATTTCAAGGGTTGATGCCCCTCGGGGGCGGATCGAGGCCCTCCCAGCGATCCCTCCCTTACGATGCTGAGCAGCACGACGGGCATCAGCAGCCTTACACCGAACAGCACGACGGGCACCAACACCGCGATGTTGAGTAGCATGACGGATGCCAGCAGCACGATGGGCAGCATAATGGGCGCGAGCGGAATGATTCCGAGTAGCGCGACAGATACCAGCCGCATGATTTCGACTAGCATAGCGGGTGGTGAGGCCACGTCGACGGCCTCAATGTGTCCGCCCGTGATTCCCGCAAAGATATGGACGACGATTGGCCCACGTTGATTCCACGTTGAAGCCTTCAGGGCAATGGCCTCAGCATCCCCTGGACGCGATTCCTGCGTATTCTTGCTGGGTTTCATTGGCCACATGAGCTCCCACGGTGGGAGCGTCCCAACCTCCCACAAACACAATTCTTTCATAGCCATGGACGCGATTTGCGACATGTTGTGGCAAGGTGGGGGCTCCCAGTCGGAGGGCTCCAAGATCTTTCAGACGCATTTACGGCGCAGTGTTGCAAGTTCTCTTAGCCAGTTTGGAGCTCTGAAAGTTGAGCGTGTCCCAATGTTTAATGGCCATGCACCTTGCACGGCAACCCCTGACAGCTAAGAATATTTACGAAGCAAACACCGAAGAACCCCAGAGGAGCCCCAGACAAACATACTTGCCGTCGGCAGCATCGTTGTTACATTTGGAGCCAGCCCGAACAAGGTATCTAGTTAGTTGGACGTTGATCTGGCGCGCATGCAGGTCCAATGCAAATCAGGCGGAAGGTGTTCGAGTATGTTTGACATGTTGGATTACCGATGCATGGTGTTTCAAGGCGATGCGCAGATGCGAGAGTCCAAAAGTCAAATGCCGACCCGGCAAATAACAAATTTGGCGGCAAGAAAAAGTGGTGTGAAGAGTCATCGGTTCAAGTAGAACGAATTGTATGATTCTTGTTTTTTCCGTCCGTATCTATATATATACATATATATGTATATAGAAGTACAACTGCTTGTGTGTATATATATGTGCGTATATACATATATATATATATATATAAAAATATAAATGTGTGTGTGTGTTCGTATGTATGGATTCACTTGTTTTTCTATGTACACCCTGGTTCCGGTTCTCCGGCCAGGTCCCCGTGACATTGGCAAATTATTCGAGGTACGGGTCTGTTACCGCCATCCTGGGCGTCCAAGACGGCCCGAGACGGCCCCAGAAGCTTGCAAAAGGCAGAGGAGTTCCCGAAGATCCCCCAGGACGGGCTGAGAACGCCCACGATGGCCCTCAGACAGCCCAAGGGTGCCCACGAGAGGTCGCAAAATCCTTCACAAGAAGGTCCCAAGATGGATTTGAAGTCGCCTTGGGGCTTCCCAAAGGGGCTTGAAATAGTAACAAAATATTATGTTGTTCAGTTGTTGTGACTCTCTCGCTTTTTCGGTTCCGATGAGGTCTTGGGGGCCTCCAGTTGTGTCTCAGACCGTTCAGCTAAGCTACACCCAATTTGGCAGTTCCACCCACCCACTACAGCGTTTCGTGGCCCCACAGGAAGCTCCACCCAGTGGGACCATGCGTCCCGCACACCCCATTGGGAGCTCCACCGAGCCCTTAGTGGGACCGTCCGCATGCGTCCTGGAAACCCAATTTGGGATTTCCACCCAGTACAGCGCTTCGTGGCCCCAGAGGGAGCTCCACCGAAACCCCCAGTGGGACCGTCCGCATGCGCCCCGCAAGCCCATTTCGGCATTTTCACCCACCCATTCACAGCGCTTCTTGGCACCATAGGGAGCTCCACGGAAGCCGCCTGTGGGACAGATCCCATGCGTCCCAAAAGCTCTTTTTGGCATTCGCCACCCAGTACAGCGCTTCGTGGCCCCATAGGGAGCTCCACCGACGGCCCCTGTGCTACTGCCCGCATGCGTTCCCCCCCACCCAGTGCAGCGCTTCGTGGCCCCATAGGAAGCTTCACCGAAGAAGATATTCACAATTGCGGTACCCACAACTGCATATGGTTGAATCGTTCGCCAGGATATGTTTTCCCGTAAGGCTTTATTCGGGACCCCCGAGATGCCAAAATGGGTCCAGAACCGTAGTAAAACCAATGACTGTGGTTGCCTCGCCGAGGCCGTTTTGGACGTTGTGACCGCTTGCAGAACGCCCAGTCTAGGTCCAATGGGGAGAGGAAACGCCCTAAACCACCTACGCCCAGAGGGTTGGCGGGATTTGTTCCAAGGGTTGAATTACAATGTGGTGCGAAAGTTTCATTATTACGGATTCCATACGAAGGATTATGCATTCAGTCGGTTAGATAATGTGGTTTGCAACAAAATGAGGAGCATGGATATGCCCATAAATTCGTGCGTGCACATATATATATATATATATATATATATATATATATATATATACTATATTACATAATGGTATATGCCGTTTGGCTATGCCTAAACGGTTTTATTCCCCCCTAGGCCGTAGTGCTCTGGCTCCCTCCCCTTCTTTCCCTTTCCCCTCTTCCGCAGCCGTCTGTGCTTCGAGCTGTGCTTTTGCGGGAGGGGCCCCTGGCCCCTAATCTCATCATGAAGGGGTGGGGAGGTTCCCACCCCGCGAGCTTCTTGCTGCTCGCCGCGGCCGCGCTGGGAGCCCTGCCTCCGGGAGGGCGCACGGCTCCCGTGGCTGGAGCGGCCGTTGGGGCTGCCGTTGGGATGGTGGGGACCGTGGACTTCGTCCCCGCCGACGGCACCGACCCCGCCCCAGAGCAGGTAGAGGAGGATGTCTGCATGGAGCCTAGGGCGACATCGTGCCTCCCCTGGCTGGGCACATCCCCGCGGCCTCGCCCGTGGAAGACCTTCCCCCCGCGCCTTCCTCGTCGGAGCCCCCGGCTGGAGGAGGGGAGGAGGGGGGCAATCGGACGGAGGGGGGGGCTTCAGATGATCATTCCTGGAGTATCCAGCGGACCCTCTGCCAGCTGAGCGCGCATCTTTCAGCCTGGGCGCCCCGCCGAGCCCCGGAGGCCTACGGCCGGCGCCGGCATACTCGGGCACCTGGTGAAACCCCCTGGAGAGGATCCGTTCCCGGGATGGCCGAACCACCTCCTGGGCGGCCACTTGCAGGGAGGGGCCTGGTTCGGGCTGATGATGTTCGGGGGCGCCCGCTGGAAGGGGTTCCCCCACTGGCTCCAGTACCTCCTGGTCTTCTTCTACCTCCTCTCCGCCCTGGTGGCCTTGGACCTCCCCATCCTCCTGGCCTATGCCCTGGCCCCACTCTCACGGGGCAAGGGCCCTCTGCGCGGGAACGAACACCCGCGCCCCTTGAAGGACTCGAGGCCGGTGCGGGGAGGGCCCGCCTCGGGCGGGACCACGCCCAACAAGTTCTTCCAGGACTGGATCCGGGCCCGCGGGAGGCACTCCAGCCGCCGCCCGCATGAGCTGCTCGCCATCATTGAGGAGGGAATGGTCCGGATGCAGCGGAAGCCGGGCTCCACGCTGCCCGCGACGCGGAAGGGAGGGCAGGTGTACCTCTACGGTGCAGCGCTGCACTGTGCGGATCCCCCCCTCCGTCAGCGGCTGGAGAACGCTCGGGAGCGCGCCGTCTACCTGGCGCGGGAGTGGGAAGCGGAGATCCCCCCAGCCATTGTGGCGGTCAGCTACCACTACACCGGCGTGGAGGAGGGGCTCGTCCTGAGCCTGGAGGAGGCTCTGCCCTATCAAGGCTTTCTCCTGGCCCTCGCCTGCCTCCTCGGCCGCGCCCTCGGGGGCGCCCACCGACTCCTCTGCTCCATGTCCCGAGCCATCGGGCTAGACCTGCCGGGGGCGTGGTGCTGTCGCGAGAGGAGAACGGCAGCCGGAGCGGGGAGGCCCCGGGATCGCCAGCTCGAGTCGGAGAGCGAGGGGCCCACCATCGGGACGTGTGGTGGGGACCGCTTGGGCTGGCGCCAACCCGGAAGCACCCTGGGCACCCTCGGCCTCCGCGCCCCGTGCCCGGAGCCCCCGGACGAAGTGTTCACCCTCCTCCTGGTCGAGGACGAACCCCAGTCGGACATCACCGGATGGGAGCGGCTGAGCGGGCGCGTTCTGGCCCCCCTATGCGCCCGGCACAAGCGCATGTACCGGCTTGCCCGCCAGCACCTCCTCTGCGCCTTCGCGGGCTCCCCCCCGTGCGACGAGATCGGGACCCTGCAGGTGGAAGAGGCTCATCTGCGCCTTCCATGCGGCGCAGTCCGCCGGCCCCCCCCAGGGGCGGCCGGGAGAGGGACTGCCAGCCTCCTCGAAGGAGGTGGTCTTGCTGCTGAACTCCCGGGAGTTGGACCGATGGCGCCATCGGAGTGCCCGGCGCATGGACGAGGAGCCCGGCCAAGCCTCGGGCGGGGAAGAGTACCCCCCACGGGGGAGGAACACCCGCCGGGGAAGCTCACCGCGCCCTCCGGCTCGTGAGGGAGGGACCCCCTCCACAGGCGCCTCCCGCGACCCGTCGGGGGAGCCCTCGGCGGTGGTCTGGCTCCTCGAGGCCCGCCTCTCCGCCATCCAGGACGGCGTTGGAGTGGAGGCCGCACTTGAGGCGGCCCAGGATTACTACGGCGAGGACCCGGACACCTGCCAGGCGTTGGTCACTCCGTGTGCGGAGGAGTTGGAGGCGACCGCCCTCCGCAACCCCGCCTCACTGGAGCGGGAGGAGCAGGCCGCCCTCGACAATCTCTTGCGGCACGTCCGCGAGAAGCGCCTGCTCCAGAAGAGGCAGGAGGGGCCTACCCCAGCAGGGAGACCCCCCCCGCCCTCACGGGCACAGGCCCTCCAACCTCCGGGCGTCATGGAGGGGATCTTCACCAGCCTCTCCGAGGGGGAATACCGCGACACGCGCCCCGCGCTGTCCGGTGGCTCGAACCCCCTCCCGCCCGCTGCGCAGTGGGATGCCATTCACGGGATCGCCCCACCGAGGGGCACCACAGGACGCGCCGGGGCAGGGGGGAAGGGCAGGCGGGGATGCTCACTGACCCGAACACCCGCCTCTTGGTTCAGCACCTCAACCTCTCCGAGCGCATGGAGGCCGACGACTCCAAGAATGTGGAGGGCCCCCTGGGCTACCTCAAGAAGACGGAGTGCCGGCTGGCGGTCTACACCGCCCGGGGGTTCAACGCCTTCTACGTCGCCCTTTGCCCGGGCCTCGTCGGAAGGGAGCTGTGCGACGCAGCCCGGAGGGGAGGAGACGGACGCTGGATGATCATGCACGAGGGAGGCTGCCCCATCCTGGTCTTGAACCGGATTGCCTACGCCATCGCGGGGGGCTTCTGGGGGGGCCGCGACCTGGAACGGATGGCCAAGTGGTCCCTGGGAGCATCAGACTTCCCGCGGACCACTCGGGAGGAGTTCGAACGGTTCATCCCGCACTCGGACCCCACCCACATGGAGAAGCGCCCCGCCTGGACCAAGATCCTCGCCGTCTGGACCGACCAGGCCCACCGGAGCATCACCACCTTCTGCCTGTTCTACGGCCAAGACCACGAGAGGGAGAGGCGGGACGCCTTGAGGAGGCTGGTGCAGCTCAACCTCGATGACCCCAACCAGTGGACGGAGGGGGACCTCTTCGCGATCTGGGAGGAGCTCCACTGGGACTGGTGGGACGGCATCCGACTGATCGCCCAGCGGGCCTTCCACGACCTCAGGAACCAGAACCCCACCGAGGAGGAGTTCAGGCTCCACCTCCTGGAGGGGCCGGGAGGCCAGCCGCGATTCCAGATGCCCCTCTCCTTCCAGCTGGACCACCCCAACGGGTTCTTTCGGGCCCAGGTGGTGTCCCGTAAGTTTTGGGAGCAACGGTCCGCCCTGTCTGCCCTCTCGCGGACGAGCAGAGCGAAGGTGCCACCCCCGCCCCCGGCGGGACGCGCCGGCCAGGACGACAACCCGCAGTGCCCCATCGGCACGGCCCTGGAGGCGGAGGAGCATAAGGCGGCCCTGGCGGGTATCCCCAAGAACCCGCAGGGCAAGAGGATTTGCATCCCCTTCAACTGCCACGGCACGCGCTGGCGGGGGAGCGGCTGCCGGGACGCCCACCAGAAGATCAACGATCTGAAGAGCCTCCCCATGGAGACCAGGTTGCTCTTCTTCCACTTCGGAGGGTTCCACAAGCTCCCCCTCGTGACGCCCACGGCGGTGGATGCCCGCATGGCTGCACTCCGGAAGGGACCGAAGCCCCGCCCGAGGACCCGCGGCGGGCAGAACGCCAACCGGGGCACGGAGGCACCCCCGGGGGACCCCCCCACCACGGGGAGGGGGGAGCCCGAGCAGCGCGCCACACAGGCGCCCGCCCCGGGGGTGCTGGCGTGCATCACCTGCCCGCGCCGCACGGCTTGGGGCACGCTCGACTTCGGCCAGTACCTCCACCCCACGGGGCCCCACGCCGATCGCATGCGGGGGGCTGCAGGAAGGCGAACCGGAGGGAGGGCAGTGCATGCTCCTGAGCACCGCCGCCTCCTCGCTGTGGCGGCAGCACGGCACCCCCCCTCATCAGGAGGAAGTGCACGCCCTGGCCACCCGCTACCGGGCGGAGCTGCTGGAGGCGGCCGGCGATGCGCCGCCGGCTTCCAGTTCGCCCCTGGACGACGCACTCCGGGCGGGAGCCGCCGTCCCGCACTCGGGAAGAGACTACCGAGAGTTTCCTTTACTGGGAGGCCCCGCCCTCACCAGTGTCGACCTCCACGTGTGCACGCTCCAGGACCCCTACCTCCGCGATACGCGGATTCCCAGCCGCGCGAGCGGCGACCCCCCCGACGCCTGGCTGTTCCTCAACCAGGGGCACGCCCTCGCACTGGGGCCCACGCCGGAGGCCTTCACCTGGATCCGCTACCGGGACGCGTGGCCCCGCCCGCGCCAAGCGGAGGCGCCCCCGGCCCCAGATGCCGTCGGCGAAACTCCCCACCCACCCAAACCCGCAGGGGGGGGTAAAGGGCCTTCGGACCCTCAACTCCAGAGGGAGGAAGGCGGCATCGGTGGGGCATCGCCCGGAGCCGCCACGGACGCCCCAAGCGGCGAGACCTGGGGGAAGGGACCAGACCCGCCACCGCGGAGGGAGACCGAGGGGAGGGGGCCCCCGGCGCACCTGGACGCGTTCAACCGAGCCACACAGGCGCTGGAGGAGGCACGGGGCCAGGACATGCTGGACCTCTTGGGGAAGGACGAGAAGCACGGCGCCCGGATCCGCACCCAATGGTACCGCTACGCCCGGAGCGTCGGAGCGGGGGGGGAGGAGGCGGAGTGGGAGAACAGGCGGAAGTACCCCCAGCGGTTGGTCGACACGTTCCTGAGTGAGATGAAGAAGGGCACGGTCTACCCTCCGCCGGACTCCACCTTCGAGAATGGAGGGAGAACGACTAAAGGGGGCCCCCATTTTCGGAGAGAGGCCGAAGGGAGAGAAGGGGGGGGCCAAGTGCGAGGAGGAAGAAGAGAGGTCCCCACAGGGCGGAACGTCGGAGGGCGAGCGCGCCAGCGGCCGGAGCAGGCAGGCCGGGGATGGGAAACCAGCCGCCGAGAGCCTTGCCCCGCGCCCCCCCACGGAGCGCCGGAGAGGCAGGGGAAGTGAGGACACCGCCGGGGCTCGCAGAGGGGAAAGCGCGAGCGGCGGGAGGGGAGGGAGCAGGGCCCCCCGGGACAGCCGCCCGAGCCGGAGGGACGCTGGGGCCTCCGAGCCCCCACGGCGGATCGAGGGGTCCCGCCGTCGCTCGCCCGTCAGCCCCCGCCGCGACCCGGGCCGAGGAGCGCACGCCTCACGGGGCCCTCGACCGGAAGAGCACACGCGCCCCCGGAGCGCGGGGCGGCGGGCATACCCAGAGGGACCAGACCGGAGGGGAAGGGTGGAGAGTCGAGCCCCTCGCGAACGCTCCCCGCGCCGACGAGGAGGGTCGGGGAGCAAAGCTGGATCCCGCCCGCCGCCGGCACCGGACCGCGCGGGCGTGCGGCGCGCGTCCACCCCCAGGGGCTCCGTCCGGCAGGAAGTCTCGCTGGGCCCCCGCAAGAGGAGCCCCAGCCCCCCGAGGAAGCGGACCGGGGGGGAGGAGCCTGGGCTCCGCACGCGGGATTCGCCACCCCCTAGGTCCCGCAGCCCAAGAAGGGCCGAGCCTCCCACGGCAGAGCCGCGAGAGCCCCACCCTCCTGCCCAGCCGGGTGGCCTCTGGCTATGCCTCGGCTGCAGGAAGGAGGTGGGGGACCGTCGGAGTCGCTGCGAGAACTGCTCCGCGCACTTCCTGACCAAGGTGGGAGCGTGGTGGTGCCCGAAGTGCCAGAGCGGCCCCAACCACCTGGGGAGGAGGGACAGCTGCGGTGGCTGCGGCGAGCCCTGCCACAAGAGGGAGTGGCTCCTGGCCGAGGTGGAGCGGATACGGCGGATCGAGAGGGGAGCGGAGGCGTGGGCCAGGTACACCGAGCGGAACCCCGAGGGGGACCGCGAGACCGAACCCCAGACGACCCTCACCCTGCAGGACTTCGTCCTGGGTCTCCGACGCGGGACTCCACCCCCACAGGACCGTCCCACCGGGAAGGGGAAGAGGCCCGGCACACCCCCGAAAGGAGGAAAGGGGCGTGGGCGGGGGAACGAGCCACGGGGCGGCCGAGGGAAGTCCCGAGGGAAGTCTCGCTTGGGGAAGGGGAGTGGGTCCACGTCGCGCAAGCGCTGGAAGTACTACGACAACACCCAGCCCCCCCCAGGGGTGTGCCGGTACTACTGGAAGAGCCGCCCCTGCAAGCCGCCGGGCTGCAAGTACCGCCACCACCACCCGAGGGGCCCCCCCGCGCCGGCCCGACCGGAAGACCGCCCCTCAAGGACGGCTCCCCAGAGCGGGGGAGGAGCGGAAGCCTGGGACGACCCCGGCCCCGTCGGAAAGCCGGGGGAGGGGACCACCCTCCCCAGTCCGGGCCAAGGAGGGCCCCCCCTCTGCGGCTCGGGACCCACCCGGTGCGGGAGGGGAGGCGAAGCCGGGCGTGGAGGACCCCCCGAGGGTCATCGAGGAGCGGAGCGTCGGAGGCAGCCAGCGCAAGCGGATCGCCGTCATCCGGCACCACGTGGAGGCGGCAGGCGGCCAGGTGGGAGGGACCGCGCCCAAACCCCGCGTGCGGCGCGGCATGGGAGTCACGGAGGCGCCCTGTGTCCACGCGCGGGTGGCCCCCCACACTCTATTCGTCGGGGCCAACGGGAAACTCCTCGGTCCCTACATCTGCTGGCCCACCCCCCACCCCCACACAACCCCCCCCCCCCCCCCCCCCAAAAAAAAAACAAAGAAACACCCCCGCCAACCCACCCCCCCCCCCCCCCAAAAAAAAAAAAAAAACAAAGAAAAAACAGAACCCCCCCCCCACACCGCCCCCACACCCACAAAAAACACCCCCCAACAAAAAAAAAAAACAAAAAAAAACCCCCCCCACACAACCCCCCCCACCCCCCTCCCACCAAAAAACAAAAAAAACACCCCACCCCCCAAAAAAAAAAAAAAAAAAAAAAAAAAAAAAAAAAAAAAACAAAGAAAAAAAAAAAAAAAAAAAAAGACACCACCACAAACCCACACCACAAACAAAAAAAAAAAACAAACAAACAAAAAAAAAAAAAAAAACCCCCCCCCCCCACCTTCTGCAGGATGGGGGACAGCGCGCAACGCTGCGGTAGCCAAGAAGCAGACGGAGGAGATTTGGAGGTTCCTGGTGACGCGCCTGATCTTCACCACGGAGGGGCGCAGGGCGCGGGCCAAGTTTCCAGATCCGTGGAAGACGGGACTTACGGAGGCCCCCTTGCCCCCGCCCCCAGACAGTCGCCTCGTCCGGCTGGCAATCGGAGAGGACCGAGACCCTGCCTTGGTCGCCGACCCTCGCGACCCGAGGCGGCCAGTCCAGACGAGGGAGCGAGCGGGAGCCGGCGCACTCACGCAGCGGGTATCCGCCTTCCTCGGAGGACTCTGGCCCGCGGGCCCCCAGGAGGAGGACGAACCCCCGCGGGGCCGCCGGGCGGTCGCCCACCGCGACCACGCCACCCTGCGCGTCCCCGAGGGCGTTCCCGGCCACCTAGACTGGGGCGACAAGACCTTCCTCGCCCTCCTCCGGGAGTACCCCGAGCGGCGTCGCCAGCTCCGCCGCCGCCAGCAGGAACCCCGCCTCCATGCGCTGCACAAGTTTCGGGATTGGCTGCGGGAGGAGTCTGCCTTGGGGAACCCCTTTGGAGGGGAGCCAGTCCCTCTGACCCCAGGGGGGGAGGAGACGGAGGACGACCCGGCGGACTTCATCCCGGCCCGAACGCCCCCGACCCTCGGGGGGGGGCCCTTCCGGGGCGAGGTCCAGCACGGACGGCCCCCCTCAAAAGGGAGGAGGCCCGGCACGGGCGCGCCTGACCGAGGAGCCAGCGGAAGGCTGGGGAGCGGCCCTAGGGGATGGCCGCCCAGGACGCCCCGCCCCCCCGCCCAAAGGCGGGAGCCCGAAGCCGAGGCCTCCGGAGAGACCCGCACCCGCCCGGGAGGGGGAGAGCAGGAGGGACTGGGCCCGAGGGCCCGCCACATCGACCTGCTGCCAGGCGCGCGGGTGATCTACCACAGCTCGACCTACGACACCTACGTATAAACGGGGTCGTGCAGGGAGCGCGGAACGACTACTACGACCTGGACGTCAAGCCCTACGCCCACATCGCGCGGATCCACCTCCCCCCGCCGCCGCCGCGCGGAGAGGGGCCCCCGGAAGCGGATGCGCGCACGACGGTGCCAGACTGCAGCGTGCGCTACAGGCCTCCCCCACCATCCCAGGCCCCCGGCGGGAGAGGA